AGAAATGTGCTGAAGTGTTAATGGGAAGAGAACATGCAAAAAAAAATAAAAGAGGAAAATGGGGGCTGACGTCTGAAGCTACACATGTGGGAGAAACATATGAATCAGAAGGAGACTCTGGGACCTTGCTCTCCCACTATCTGGCCATGGGACCTTGGCCAAGGCATCAACTGCCGTGGTCCTCAGCGGCCCCTCTGTGAAGGGAGAGCTTGGATGAGGTGACCCCAGTCATCCTCACAGACACGAGGTCACTGACTGTGGACAGGACTAAAGAAAACCAATGGGAAAAGTTTTCTGAGCTTGAAAAAGAAGCCAGCAATCCCACGTCTAGGGATCTACTCAAAAGAACTGAAAGTAGGGACCACAGATACCTATAGCCGGTTGTTACACCGGCAAAGGCCTTACAGGAACTCAGTCTTTCATTTGCACAGCACACCCTTATTTTCCCCATGATCCCCAGCTCTCTCTCCCCTGCCAACGCCTCCTACTCCACCACCTCCAAAGCTAGAGCACCCCTCGGACCTCGTCCCTGTTACACTCACTCCCCAGCCAACCCCATCCAGTCCCACAGCCTTAAATCTCTTCTATCCTCTGACAACTGCTACACAGGGTGGGGCAAAGGTAGGCTCACAGTTGTGAGTACATGAAACAGAGTTTATTCTTGTATTATTATGTTTTAATCTTTGTAGTACTTTCCATACAAACAACTGTAATCCTACTACCTTTGCCCACCCTATATTTATGCTTCCACCCACCCTCGGATCTCCAGAACCATCGCCCACTGCCTACCAGGCCATCTAGTATCTCTGATCTCACGTGTTCAAGCAGAATTATTTGGTTTTCCTCCTAATCCTTCTCCTTCCTCAGACTTCTTCAGTGTAGCAAATGGTCTCACCTTTACCCAGCACCTAAAACCTTGGTCATGTCATGTCCTTGATTCTAATTTTTCCTTCTTCCTCCCAGGCCAATCAGGACATCTTGTTGGCTCCACCTTCTGTGATGCCCCCACTCTGTCTCCTGCCGCTATCACTCGCCTGAGCCCAGCGGACAAGCTCCGCTGCCCACGAGCCAGATCCAGCCACAACCAATCGTGCACATGTCATCCACCTCGGCAGAGCCGAGTAACGGCAACAGTGAAACGATGAAACTGGCAACGATGAAAAAATGTGCCCTCTGACCCTTCAGAGCAAAGTTTGCTGACCCCTAGTCTAAGCATCTGATCACCTTGGACAATCCTTTAGTGTAATCCTCTAACCGGCAATAAAACACCAAGTGCTGCTCTTTGAGTGTTTGTTCTTTGCCTTCTCAGAAATAATAACGTCCCTTCCTCTCCATTTTCTGATCAAAACCCTGTGCCTCCCAAGAGGCGCTCTTCCTGTCTCTGTTCTCTCCAGCAAACCCTCACTGAGGATTAACTCCTGGAAACACCATGCTCACCCTGCTCAAGACCTGCAGTGGCTCCCAATGTCCCCCACCGTGTAGACCAGTGATGGCGAACCTTTTGAGCTCGGCGTGCCAGCATTTTGAAAAACCCTCACTTAACTCTGGTGCTGTGTCACATATAGAAATTTTTTTATATTTGCAACCATAGTAAAAGATTTATATTTTTGGTACTTATTTTATATATTTAAATGCCATTTAACAAAGAAAAATCAACCAAAAAAATGAGTTCATGTGTTACCTCTGACATGCATGTCATAGGTTCGCCATCACTGGTGTAGTCTGTACACCTAGGTAGTTTTCAAAGATTCTCTATAACCTGGCCTGACCCTCCAAAGTTGATCAAGGCCCCTTGCTCCCCAATAGAATAAACCAATGCCTTCCCCTCTCCCAGAAGGTGCCATGCTCCTTTCCCAGGCAGTGCCTGTCATCTTTTCTTTCTCTACCTTCTTATTTCTATCATCATTTCAATATGTTCAAAACTCCCTCACACTAAAACAAAACAAAACTTCCTAGACCCCAAACCCTCTATTTACCATCGAGTTTGTTGCTTTCCTTTCTAGGACAGAGATTTTTCTAAAAATGAAAAAACATCTGAAGAAATTGTCTATTACTGTCATCTTTATTTCCTCGCCTCCCACTCACCCACTGTCATCCGGTGCCCACTTCTCCATTAAAATCACTCCTGTCAGGATGACTAATAATTTCACCAAACCCAGTAAGTTCTGTTCCACCTTTATTGCACTCTTCTCTCAGCAGCATTCCACCACACTCTCCTTTTTTCATCTAGCTTCCTGTTTATTCCTTCTCAGTATCTTCTTCACATGTTTGTTTTCTTCACTAAACAGTAAGTTCCTAGAGGAAGGGACCACGGCCTGTGTGGTTCTCTGATAGCAAATATACTAGAATGTCTATGGCAGGCCCTCAACCAATGTTAGAAAAAACCAACTCCCTGCCACTTACTGTTTTCAGTTTGAGAACTTCCATTTCCCTGGGAAATTCTCCATATTATCTTGATTCTTGGAACATTGTATTAATGACTATTTTCAAGTGTGTGTCTCATAACTACTATTATCTGGAACTCCTGTGGGTCTGTTTCTAGTTCTGGTTTTTCTCTTGACTTTCTTACACCCTGCTTTTTAAAAAAATATATATTTTATTAATTTTTTACAGAGAGGAAGGGAGAGGGATAGAGAGTTAGAAACATCGATGAGAAACATTGATCAGCTGCCTCCCACTGGGGATGTGCCTGGAACCAAGGTACATGCCCTTGACCAGAATCGAACCTGGGACCCTTCAGTCCGCAGGCCGATGCTCTATCCACTGAGCCACACCGGCCAGGGCCCTGCTTATTTGTAATTGAGTGCTGAACATTACATGTGAAAACTGGTGCAAGAATCTGAGGCTCTGGATGAAGGGACCCCTCCTCCAGAGAGACTGGTTTGTTTTGGCTTCTGGTTGGCAGGCAGGCTGGAGAGACGCGGGTAATCCCATATCTCACTCATTCCATTGGTACTGAAATGATTCACACCAGGGCTCTGGTCTCTCTGAGGGCTGGTTTAATTCTGGATTACCACTTCTCTTCAGCAATGGCCTTTCAAGCCTTGGATGTTGAACGGTGTCCTTCCAACTAAGGCAGGTCCCAACTCCAATTTTTGTCTCCAGCTCTATGAACCTGGCAAGAGCTCTGCTCAGATCCCAAGCCAAACTTCCATCCACACAATCCAGACTGCCACCGCCAGAAGAGAGCTCCTTAATCCTCACTAATACTCACAACCTAAGGCCTGCCCACCACGCTGCTCTGTCAGATCTCCCCTCCCACCCTGCAGGAGCAATGGGAGCCCAGAGACCTGGTTCTAATCTCAGCCAGCAACTCGTCCTGTGACTCCTAGGCTTGACCTGTCCAGGGACCCCCTATCCTTCTGTGTAAAATGCAGTTGGATCAAAATCTCCGGCTTTCTTCCTGCTCTGAAAGTTTTGCAACCTCTAACCTTTCTGACATAAGGACAATCCCATCATTGCCCAGCCCTGATTACAACTTTCTATTCTCATAAGAACATTATAACAAATGGATTTAAAACGACAACAGCATGATGGATGGAACTGGAGAGCATTATGCTAAGTGAAATAAGCCAGTCGGTGAAAGGAAAATACCACATGATTTCATTTGTGGGATATACTAGTAAAGAACATTATAAACTGGTGAACAAAAATAGATACAGAGCCAAAGAAACATCAAACAGACTGTCAAACTACAGCGGGAAGGCTGGGGGTGGGGGGAGATAGGGGAGGCTGGGGGAAGGTCAATGGGGAAACATATGTACTACTATTTGTAATACTTTAAACAATAAAATAAAATAAAATAAAAAAAACCCACAACAGCATGGATTTAGATTTGCAAGCAAACTGTTCAATTTCTGGAACTGTGCCCTTTCATACTGAAGAGCCTTATTATTTCTTGCCCTGGCTATAAAGTCATGCAAAATGGATGAGAACCCAACTAACGCTAAGGCTGAAAGTCAGAGAGAACAGCCCAAGCCTAAAGAAGTGAGTCACTGTAGGGCATCACTATGCCGAATGGCACACAATAAACAAACATGAGGGGAACAGGCCTGAGTCTTAGCCAAGGACTTAAATTATTCTTTTTAAAAAAGAAGGACGCTGACTGTGTTTGGCAACAGGCCAAGGCGGGAGAGAGTCAAACAAACTTCATCCTTTGCCTTTTCAGAAGCTAAAATACCACACTTTCCCCAGTGGAGGAATAGCGGAAGGTACACACACGTTCTATTTGTGTTCACCCTGGACAAAAGAACCAGTGGTGGAAGATAATGACATGTCGAAACAAAGCCCTACTTTCATAAACGCAGAGAAGAGAAGACCTCCTGGGGCCTCGTCACTCTGCAGAGAACGTCCTGCACAAACGTGCCAATGCTGGCCCGGGGTCTGCCATGCCCAGCCTCTGTGTCCCCCCCCCCGCCCCACCACTCCCCCGACCACAGAGCTCCTATACCTCTTCCCTATAGGACACACGCGTCTCCTGTGTAGTGTCTCCCCTTCCTTGCGGTGTCTGTGTCCATCAGAAAGCAAAGGAATCTATTCCAAAAGCTGTGCTGCAGCCCAGACCCCCAGAGGGAGTCATCCCTGGGCGTCTCGGTGCTCAGTCACATGCCAGCTGGAAGCAAATGAACTCTCTGTTGGTCCCAAAGCTATGCTACTATCTAACGATGCTCATTCAGGCATTCAAAACGTACTGAGAGCTCACTACGGGCCAGACACTCAGACGGGCCTTAAGGATAGAAAGGTGACCAGGATACATGAGGTGCCTGCCGTTACGGAGCTCAAATGCAAAAAGTGCCTCAGTTTCCCCATCTGCTAAATGAAAGTGCTGGACCAAGTTCCCCTGAGGCTCCTTCTGATTTTAAAGTGCTACAGTTGTACAATCGGAGTTAAGCCCTGGTTGGCCGGATATATCTGCGTGGCAAGGGCTGGCACAGCCTCTCTGGGCCTGGGTACCCACATCTCTAAAGCAAACAGGTGACATGGGGAAAAGTCCCCATTACCTTGTGCAGGCACAGGGCGAGGTTTCCAGCGCCGCCCTGCAAGGAGTCCGTCTGCTGAACGGCAGCCCAACAGTAAGAATCCACGAAGGCAGCCTGACGCCAGGAGAAAGAACTTGGGGAGAAACAGCTTATCTGTGTACCTAAGAAACAAAACAAAAACAGATGTTCCAGGTGAATGGAAGCGCAGGGTCTGGACCCCTCCCACCCCGCCCGCCTCTCCCTCCTGCCTCTGGTTTTCCAGTGAGAGCTAAGGTGGGGAGCACCACACAGGTGTAAGGGCAGAGCTGAACCAAATGCCCACGTGCATGATAAAGCTGAGTATTTGAGAGTTTTGGGGGCCAACACTGGTCATGACAGCAGCTTGCGCTCAGGTGGGGGAAAACTCTTGAAAGAAGTAAAACCACCATAAAAAGAAAAAGCGAGCAGGAAAAGAACCAGAACCAAAAATGTACGGAGGAAACCTGCACAGAGTTGGTTCCCTTTGGGGTGAGGGATGAGAGAAAGGAGGGGGACTACAGGGTGGGGGCGGGGCAGGGAGCAGGAGAGTCAGTGCAGACAAGTAGACTAGAAAGGAAGGCCTCTTGGAACAAAGAGACAAAGAACTTTTAGCCCGAGGAAGAGAAAGCTGATGGAACATTTGGCAATACTTTGCCTGATGACAAATCAGCAGCTTTCCATCTCCTCTAACAAAAAAGGCGAAGGCTGAAACTGCAGCCCAAGTGTTCACATTTGGAAGGCAGATGCTCGGGAAGGCAAGCCTCCAGGCAGGGAGACGGATGCTGGATGGGGCGTCAGGAGAGCTGGGTCCTGCTTGCTGTTACCTTGCTCTTCTGGGAGCTCGGAACTCAGTCCTCTCCTCTGCAAACTGGGACTATATCACTCTGCAAATGCTCCCACTCCCTGCTTCCTGAAGACTCTCCATGCTCCCCGAGGGCCTGTGTGCCCTTCTTACTCACACAGGCCATGTGGGAAATTGGCCAAGACTTTTGGGGTGCAGGGCTGAGGCTGTGCCCCCACTCCTTGACAGCAGGCACAGCACCTGGCACTGAGCCTCTCCTGGCAGCGCCTAGCCCAGCCGTGCTTCTCTGTCCCGTCAGCACACCTAGGAGCCTGGGTGTGTCACAGGCACAGAGACCAGCTGCTGAGGCCATGAGCAGGCACACGCTTGTCCACATCCTGTGCGGCGGGAGAGGAAGTGTTAGGTGCAGCACTGATGTTAGCTGTACTGAAACCTAACTCTGCCACTCACAGCTGCGTGACCTCAGGTCACCTAACCTCCCAAAGCCAAGGATCTCCAAAAGGGCGATGGCATTAATGTCTACCTTCTTAGTGTAGCGCCTGGTTCCCAGTGGTTGCGTAATAAGCATTATACTCTTCTACACGAAGGAACTAGTGTATTCTGTTACAGCTTTAAAGGTGGGGGCATGCCCACCTTTCTCTCTTCCCTCCCTACAGAGAGGGGACAGGGATGGTGAGAAGACACTGAACTGAATTCCCCTACTCCCCAGGGCATAAAAAGCCTAGAAGGGTCACCTTTCCCTGGGGAGGGGGTGGCCTTGATAGCTGTGACAGGAGAGGGCAGTGATGGGGATGTTGTCCCGAGAGTACATTCCTGTGGTGGCGGAAGGGGCAATGGGCACGGCCCTGAGCATCCCTTCTTCTTCTTCATCGGTGCCTTTATGTCCACAGGCGTCGAGAAAGGAACTCTCAGGGAGAGCCCGTGGAGATCACTGTGGAAAGTCAGGTGCCACTAGAACATGCCTGTAATACCTGCTAGGAATGGCTTACGTATGAGTTGGGGGTAGGTAAGATATTTCAGGTCCCTTCCAACTCTCTCATCCCATTAAACTTGAGTTCTTACATTTTATAAGAACAGAGCAGTCAGGACAGTGCAGGACCATGGGGCTAACGTCACACTGCTCTCCCATCAGCAGGACTTCGTCAAAAAGCTTCCGGTGTGGCCACCAAGACATCCTCAGTATGATGACAGAGGCACAGAGGGGCAGGCAGGCTCAGCTTACACATGGGTGGGTCCTGGCAAGTCGCTTGCTTGGCAACGACTGTTCAAATATTTTTTCATGAAAATGGACAACGCTGTTAGGATTTCATGAGAACCTGTCTGGCCCATGGGTTCCTTAGGTATTGTTCTCTTAGTACATGTAGCCAACATACAGTAACATTCTTTCTGTTGGAAAATGTGCTTCAAGTTCTGTCTTGGGACCTCAGGGGCCTACACCAAGGCAGTGGTAGAAACTGCTGGAGCATAAATAACTAAACTTTTTGTTTCAAAGCTTTTGCAAAAGAGCAAGATGGGAAATATAACTGAGTCACAAGAGACAGAGATGAGGATGTGGATGTGCTGAGCTCACAAGTCAATGTCCTTCATCTGGAATAGAAGGTCAGAGGAAAAGATAGCAGGCAACCAATATTCATAGGACACCAAGCAGCTCTTAGATCATCACCTCATTTGAACCTCACAACCAAGCTGAAAAAGAGAGAAAGAGGGAGAGGGAGGTGGATAAAGAGATCCATGTTATTTTCATTTTATCCTGGAGGAAACCAAAACTCAAAGTAGTTCAGTAATCCCCCACCCAAGCTAGAAAATGGTAGCACCAGAATTTGAAACTGTGCCCAACTCTCATTCTCTTAGAACCCTCCTCCAATAAGGCCATGCTGTAGGAGGTCCTAGGAGCCAGGCCCAGCTGGAGTTGGGATGGTCTGAACAAATAGTTCCTCCAAGTGACAAGAACAGGCAGAGCTTCCTGGGAAGGGTCAAGGACCAATCTGGGGAACCAGATCACCCAGGGCATGACAGCTCAGCCTGGCTTATAGGCACCCATGTCGGGGTGCTCAGCTGTTGCCATGGGGCTAGGATGCTTGGGTCCTGGACCATCCCGCTCCATGTCCAAATGTACTCCCACATCCTTTATCCCACTTTTCAAAAATAATATCGAAAGGTGCACAGGTGTTTTATATTTTGCCTAGTAACCTTCCCGTTCTCCCCTGGACTATTCATCCTAAAGCTCAGTTCTAATCCTGACATTCCCTTGGCTCAAGTTTTTTTTACGGGTTCTCCTTTGCACATCGTATAAATCCAAACTGATGCTCCAATCCAACCCAATTATTGCTACAGCTTGCACAGGCCTGATTCATTCCTAACTCTGAGCTTTTCCTCACAGTATTCCCTCTACTTGGGGCCCTCTCTCCAATACTTGTTTGTTAAGTCAATGCCCCTCCACGTCCACCTCCATGGCTCATCTCGTCCTCCTCCATGGCTCATCTCGTCCTCCTCCATGGCTCATCTCGTCCACCTCCATGGCTCATCTTTCAAAACCCACCTCAAATGGTCACCTTCACCATGAAGCTTCTTCCCCAATGAGTTCCCAGAGCCCTTTGAAGCCATCAGAGACGTGCAGATAATCACCTTCAACCATGCTGTACAAACATGCAGGTATGTCTCATCTCCTCTAGTAAGATCTCAACTCTTGGCTGGTAGGGTTGACAGAGAATCAATCTCAATCTCAATCTCAATCTCTCTCTCACTCTCTCTCTCTCTCTCTCTCTCTCTCTCTCTCTCCCCCTCCCCCGTATCCTAAAATAACACTTGTCTGGTATTTTAAACATTTCAAAGTACTAATATAAAGACTGTCTCAATGTTCAAGTACCCCTGTTTGATAGCCAAGAAAACAGCCCCCTGACCTACAGCAATCTGAGTCCCACACTCTGCTCCACCCTGCTGTGTGTTGGCTGAATGAACACGGATTCCTAGGGGGAGCTTTAGTGAGACATACACTGCCCTCACAACTGCAGAGAAAGCATGAAGCGGGTCTCAGGTTTACACAGGGAACAGAGAACACCACTTTCCCCCGGCTGGGAGCTGTGGGCTTTACCCTCATGTGTCTGGCCAGATATTATGAAAGACCACAAGGAGGAAACATGTGTTCATGGGCACTGTGGAAGCAGCGACAACATCTGCTAAGTAAGTAACCCAACCTCAGACATCCTCCCTGCCCCTCCTTCTTGGACTCGGCTTGGAGCCCAGGGCGCCCACACTAGAGTCACACCTTCTCCCTGAGTGGCAGCCCAGGCAGCTTACACCCGTAGCAGCTGGTGGAGAACCCGAGGGTGCACAGGACCAGAGCCAGAAAGGGCAAGCCTGACCAGTGATTTCTCAATGGCACCCACACAGCTTGTGCAAGGCCACACCTGCTGCAGCTTGCACAGGCCTGATTCATTCCTAACTCTGAGCCTTTCCTCACAGTATTCCCTCTACTTGGGGCCCTCTCTCCAATACCTGTTTGTCAGGATTAGAACTGAGCTTTAGGATGAATAGTCCAGGGGGAAACGGGAAGGTTATTAGGCAAAATGTTACTAGGCCATGGTTGGTCAGTTCCCAGTCCAACCTTGAAAAGAGTGACTTTGGCCTAGTTACCTATGGCCCCGCCCCCTTGAACAGGCTTTCATTTCACTCTTATGCATCACTAACCCCCATCTGAGGGGCTGTAAGTTCTGAGCAAGCCCCTGTGTCCCCTGACAAACACCCACTCCCAGGTGCTGTGTGAGAATGCTCCCGGTATTTGCCTCTGCATTTATATGCTACCTACAACTGGGAGGTGGCACAGGGCTCAGGCCTCTTGAGGAGTTAAGAAAACTCACCAAAACCACAAGTTTAACAAAAATAAAAACACGAATAGAAGGATCTAGGTAGCTGGCTGGGAGAACTTTAGAGGACCTTTCAAATAGAAGAGATTTGAAGCTGAAATAACTGATACATAGGAAAGCGTCAAGAGGCAGTAGAAGGCAAGCACAGAGAACTATTCCCTTGTGTGTACTTTTAGCCGCATTTTAAAGATGGGAAAAGTGAGGCACTGAGATCACATGGCTAGTAGGTTGTAGAGCTGGTTATCATCCTGGGAGTCTGTCTTCACCTTCAGACACAAGAAAGAGGAGACATAGGAGCACAGGTTGTTGACAAAGGTTGAGTCATAGATGGTGGAAAGAGAAAGGAGGAGACAGGAGAGTTTCTTTAAGGGGAAGTAGATCCTGGGGTTGCTGTTTTGAGGTAAAAAGTAAAACTAGAGTAAAATAATGATGATATCAATTATAATCATTACTATCTACATAACTTCTTAAAATTTACAAAATATTTTTATTTTGCAAAACAAAAACTCGGTTTAAATTCAAAGTAATATAAATTATATTCACATACACATTTATGTATTTATTTGTTTATTTGTGCATTTATTTTATTTATTATTTATATTCACACACACATTTATGTATGTATTTATTTATTTATGCATTTATTTTATTTATTATTTAAATCATACTACAACCTAGAAAGCACCGAACTTAAAAATTCTGGCTCATTTTAAGGTTGCCCCAAAAAAGAGAAAACGATTATAAACTCTCAAGTTCAATGAGAATAATCACATAAAGAGGACCATGAATGTGCAGAAGAGAGAAAGAGATGGGTGGTGGTCAGATCTTAAACACAGAACAGTGCACTCACAGGACAAAACAGGCCTGGGTCTGTTTAAAGTACCTTTGACCCCAACATGATAAAACCGATGACCCACAGGGTCTGCCCCAAAGGACCCTACCTTGCCGAATACTCCAAGCTCCCAGCTCTCATAAACTGCAGCAATATTCTAAGAATCTCAGAACATCTTCTCTTTCTTAAGAAGGAGCCAAGGAATACCTTTCCATTTACTAGGTGGGGTGCTGTCTGATTCATGAATCGTTCAATAAAGCCAATTAGATCTTTACATTAAAAAGAAAAAAAAGAGCCAAATTTCTCCCCTTTCACCACCCCATCAGACTTCCACCCAGACCAGCCTTTAAACCTAAGCAACTAAATATATCCCGGAAGTCCCAAACTGTCCATTACTGCCTTCGTTTTTGCAGGAACTGACCCCAAGGCACACATGAGTTTTAAACCGGCACAAAAAGATAAGTACTCTCTGTAGCCCAAACAAAACAAAAACTAATTGAAATGATAGTCTTCTTTTCCTTTAAACCAAAATGACTCACCAGAGCTCTCGTGTCCACAGCTAAGCCTGACTTTTAAAGAGAAGCCAACCAGGGCGAACATCTGCTCCTTTGCGAAGATGGACATCATCAAATGTGAACTTCTAAACAGGTTCCAAGAAGTCCCCAGACACTCCTCTACCCACCCACATTGTACAGAGCAATACACAACTGCTCAGGACTTCAGAACTGTTTTCCCTTCTGGGTCTAACACACTATCTAAACCTGTGGGTCGCAACCCCTTTGGCGGTCGAGGCACCCTTTCACAGGGGTCGCCTAAGACCATCCTGCATATCAGGTATTTACATTACGATTCATAACAGTAGCAACATTACAGCTATGAAGTAGCAACGAAAATAACTTTATGGTTGGGTCACAACATGAGGAACTGTATTTAAAGGGCCAGAAGGTTGAGAACCACTGCGCTAGATAAAGGCCCCCTCAGTGCACACTGCTCTCATGCATGAGGAGGGAATATAAGCCTGTACTGACCGACCACATGGTCCAGGATGTGTGACCACAGGGAACATGCAACCAAGCTGGTGAGCCTCAGATGGAACCTTCAAGGCTCCTTTAATTAAATCAAGAATGATGATGCCCTAGCTGGTTTGGCTCAGTGGACAGAGCATTGGCCTGTGGACTGAAAGGTCCCAGGTTCGATTCTGGTCAAGGGCATATGGCTGGGTTATGGGCTCAACCCGCAGTAGGGGGCGTGTAGGAGGCAGCCGATCAATGGTTCTTTCGCATCGTTGATATTTCTATCCTTCCCTTTCCCTTCCTCTCTGAAATCAATAAAATATAAAAAGAAGTTGCATTTTAAAAAAAATGATGGCATAAACAATCTAATATTAGATAGCTTGCTAAGTGTAAGAGGGGAAAGCAAAAAGGAAGTTGGAATGAGACGACAGCCCCAAGGAATCACTGTGGGGAGCCGATATAGGGTTAAGCCTCGGGCTGACCTGTTGGTAAAGGCACAAACAATTCCCAGCTTAGAGGGCACAGTCCTCTTAGCATAATTAGGCTTGACCTTAGGAGGCTCCCTAGATCTTATCTGGGAAGCTAATAGGCTGAGAAAGTGCAGGAAGTATAACCATGGTGTAAACAAGTGAAACTCACAAGAACAAAAACAAGTGAAACTCACAAGAACAGTGTAACTTTGGTAACCACTACCTTGTTTACCTCTCACTATAAAATAAAGGCTCAGCTAGTCTTGGGACCTCTCTCTGTGGCCTCAGCCAGGCACAGGAAGATGCACGGAGACTAAGGAAAGCTAGAGAGGTCTGAACGCTGTCTCTGTGTAAAACATTCTTCGCGGACTCGTCCACACCTTTGGGACCCCCTGGACCCCCTGGGCTGGACCCCGGAAAATCACGAAGCTGGATTATACCCAGAAGGAGAGATGAGAGAACTCAGGAGCAGTTTGAAGGGTTTCTTTCCTCTGGTGGAGAGCCCAGTCCCTTAGCTCGCCCAGGAGTCAAAACCACGCAAAAGAACTTGTATAAACCCAGTGTAAAACGTAACAGTTGCCCAGTGAATAAAATTTTCATAACTTGGGTACCAGAGGAAGAAAGACATAAAACCTCAATGTTCTACTAAACATGCAAAATATTACTCGGTGTATCCAAATATAATTTTATTTTAAAAAAAATTTTGTCCTCAGATTAACTCAAACATACAGAAAATAATGTAACAGATACCTAGGAGTTTAAAACAATATGGACATTTTGCTGTAGTTACCTCATCTCTTTATAAAACATGTTATTTTGATTTTTTTTCAGACCTACAAAAATGTTACAAGAATATTACAATGCTATGCACCCATAAAAAAGAGGAAATCTGCCATTTGCGTAAACACAGATGGACGAGGAGGGCATTATGGTAACAAATAAGACAGACAGAGGAAAACAGTGCATGTCTCACTTATATGTTTTAGCTAATAAAACAGAACTCTTAGAAACAGGGAACAGATTGGTGGCTGCCAGAGATGGGAGGTTGGAGGGTGAAGGAATGAGCAAAGGTCGTCAAAAGTCACAAATTCTCAGTTCTAAGAAAAGTAAGTCATGGGATGTAAGATAAAACATGGTGACTATAAGTTAACAACAATAGGTTGTATATTTGAAACCTGCTTTGAAAGTAGATCTTAAAAGTTCTCTTCACACACACAAATTATAACCATAAGAGGTGAGGGGTGTTGGCTAACGTTATAGTGGCAATCATTTCGCAATTAATACATATGTCAAATCATGACGCTGTACACCTTAAACTTACACAATGTTATATGTCAATTATATCTCAATAAAACAAAGAAAAAATAAATAAAAGTTGTAAACCTGCATAAAACACAGTATCTTTAAAAAAGCCTATTTCAATGAAATGCCATAGACTCTGGAATTTAGATTCAACC